GGATATTCAAGGATTAGTAATCTGGAGTATGAACAAAATTAATGATTGAGAAATCAAGCAACATAAACTCGAAATTCTATTATAATGATTCTACCTCTGTTTGATTATCTTTAGGAGTTCTTGGATTGACCGATGTATTAATATTATCAACACGAGAAATCTGGACATTTTGAATGTCAGCTTTATCAGCCTTTTGTTTTGGATTGTCTGACGAGACATTTACCCCTCCTCGATCAATTTGATCTCTGGCATTTTGCGCTTGGAGACTTTGATTTTGAGTTTGAGGCTGCTCACCACCGTCTTCCTTATATTTCCTGACTGCTTCTCGTGTTCTCGTATCTTCTTCCAAATCATCCGTCATCAATTGTTTTCTGCAATCAGGACACTTGAACCCGTTTCTCATCAACGTATCTTGAATACCTGTATATTTAACAGATCCAATTGTATCGCCATTTTTTTTCAAAAGTTAAAAGGCAATATAACTTTGTTAGTGGAAATGACCTAAAATGAATTATGACGATAGAAAAAGCTATCCATAATGAGGTTAGTTTGGAGGACTCAAATTATATACGCAAGTCTATGTATGTATGTGCAAGTTAATTTTGCTTTTGTTGTCCGACTAGCCAACATACGGCCCACCTATTCATTACTGGTGATATTTCTTTTGGACGTAGCTAGATTCGCAGATATAGTTAATTGGTTGCTAGTATATCCAGAGCATGCACTTTCATTTAACCAACGAAAAAAAAGTAAGTGGGGCAAAATATCCTCAAGGAAGTTGAACTTTGAAAAAGATGAAAAAGGGAAAATGTTTATTGTGCGATGAATTTGTTCAAATCTCGAAAAAATTAATCGCAAACAAATGAAATCTTTCCCAATATTAAAAAAATATCGAATTTGCCCTATTCTGAAATTCCTACTGCTCTTTTTCTTGTTGATATAATCGAGTTCTAGACAAGGTGCTGATCTTCCTTGTAGATAACAACAATAATAATACATACATTGCCGGCAATAGATGGCACGACAACAAGGTGTCGACTCAGCTTCTTTTACGAGCCTCTTGCATAAGCCACATTGAAGTTCTTCTGGAATTTGTTGTGAAATTTGATGTGATTCATTAGAAGTAGGTACGGATGAACTGGGGTGCTCGCGAAATACTTGGGATTGAGCACTGTAAGAATATTTATTTATGATCAGTTATCGTTCGATTTATTTCAGAATAGTCAATATGTCAAAATTGTAAAAAATAAAATAAATGCATACATAATGGGACGGTCCGAAGTCGTGGAACTAAAAGATGAAATTTCTTGTGTGGGAAATCCATTTGCTTGTCCTAGGTTTCAATAATAATTATGAATATTTAGAGTTTATCTAATCATATTTCTTAACATAACTATTTAAACTTTATTTACCATTCTGTTCATTCCACGAGGGTTGTCCTATAGATTTCTTTTTTAATATAACTTCACTAGGCCGCGGATATTGTTTAGGTGAAGCAGATAAAGATAAAATAGACTGATTGCCATTTGTTCGTTCAGGCAGCACTTCCGAAGATGATGTTCTAGAGGAGAAATAAATTATTTAGTAAAATAAGAAAAATATAAAAGACGCCAAATAAGCTTACTTTGTAGATCTATTTTGTGCAGCATCCCAAAAAATGGCCTGTTGCTGAAACATTGTCTTAATCGCATCATCTTCCGATTGTATGTTAGGATTCGAGGTAATTATATCAACGCCAGTAATCTGTTCTGTTTGCTGCTGCTGTTTTGGGTAACTGCACAAGACAAAAAAAATCTTAGGAATTTTCTGTAGTTGATTTTGCGACAAAAATTTAATCCTAAAAAAGATACACACCCTTTAGTCGTATTAGTATTTGGACCTCCAGACGGCTTCAACGGCAGGCTGGATACTGGAGCAGAATGGGGGTCTAAGCCATTCACCGGTTTCGTTGTCGCATACTTAACAATTATTCTGGTGTCTGAGGGTATTAACTTATTATCATCAGTATATTCTAAAGTAAATTTGAATGTCAAAAGTTCAATTAGATCTGTTCTTGGTTGAAAAATCACATGCATAGCAGCCAAGGCGGCTTTTTTGATAACGTACCTTCGTCTGTATCTGCCTGCGTTAGAACGATGTCTGCTTCTTTCAGATCTAAAGCCTTTATAATGTTTTCCTTTGCGGCAATAATTGAAATTTTGGATCCTTCAAACGGTAGTACTTCGAACTCTGACTTGTCTGCGAACTTGTAATGAAGTTGCGACATTATTGAAGAGTAATTTGAGTTGTAGAAGAAACTATTAACAAAGTTCTCAAATGAAAAAATAACAATGTGTCAAATGTGTCATGTAGATTGACCTCATACACGTGATTTATAAATGACATGAAGATTAAATACCTCGAAATAACGTTAATAAATATACGAAAAAGCAATTTGTATTTCGCGAACATCCAAATTCTTGCCAAATAAGTGTTCTATTATTCTTTAGAAACATACATAATTATTTGAAGCTGCATTCACTATGTTCTCATAAATTATTATATTTAACGATCAAGTATTTTAAACTTAAAAATGCGTCTGAACAAAATTTTTAGATTCTAAATTAAATGTTTATTAAATATAACACGATAGATCATTGATTATACTTGTATTAGTTTTTGTTGTTTTTTCTTAAAAGTAACTCGGTCAGACGATTTATCAGACCTGAAATGGGAGGCCTTGCAATAATAAGAAAACTAGATCATATATTGAATGCCAACGGGCAATTGTCGATACCATTTTTCACCTTCGATCCTTGCACTCTCTTCAACTTTCAAACCATCCAAGCATACCATATTCGGACACCGACGAATTATAGAAAATCGATAATAACTTCTCTTCACATATATATCGTCTGATATATTTTTTAGGAATTCTTCGTCACGAAGATCCCATTCCTTTTGATCTTTTTTATTTTGTGTTATATCCCATATATGTTTTTTTGATTCGTACGCGATGAGCAGGGATTCAAGAGATGGGTAGAATTTCATGGTGATTGGATTGCATCTGCATTTATTAAAAGATTAATACATCAATAAATACATATTAATTAAAACTGTTATTTATATAGAATACCTTAAATCACAATACTTCAACGTTGACAATCGTTTGATAACTTCAAGTATTTCATGGCCGCTTAATTCATTGCAAATTACTGTCAGTTCCTTCAAGCGTGTTAATCTTCGAAGAGGACGAATATCTATGAGGTGATTATAATTAAGATTTATATAGGAAACTCCTGGACATATCTCATAAAACTTTTCAGGTAGTTCTTTTAATCCAACGTTGGAGAGTTCGATGAGATCAAGCTTAAAGAATTCGGTCATCGTTTCTAATTTCGTAAGCGGATTCCCAGTTAGATATAATTTTTCGACTCCTCGTAAATGCTTAAAGTTAAGATTACTAATAATGGATAATTATCAATAAGGTCTAAAAAAAGTAACGAATGATAAATTAGCTTATTTTTAGAGATTACACTTTATTATCGTTTTTTTGATTTCGTATTGAGAAGGTCGCGATTCTCGTGAGCATCTCTGAATTCTTTATTTCTTTCAGTTCGTTATGGTCCAAAACGAGGACTCGAAGATTAGGCGTTCGCTTAACATTCAGTTCAATTAATTTATTTTGTCCGAGTTTTAGACATGCAAGCGTGTTCATTATTTGAGATGGATTGAAGACTCGTATGTTGTTACGTTCTATTGAAAAAAGAATATTTCAAAGGTATTATGTAAAATTAAATGAGAAATAATATCAAACCAAAAATTACCTAAATCCAAACATTTGAGCGCTTTCAATGAACCAAGTCCGTTAATTTTTTCGATATCATTTTCGGATAGATCCAAATTCTCCAAAAGATGTCTTTTAAATTGCATAGTAAATAAATATTAAATCTTCAAAGTTAATAAAATGATAACATCTTTTCTTACTCACAAATTACACGTTGTGAAATCGACTTCAGTAAATTTGTTTCTTTTCAGGATCAACCTTTGGAGGGATTTTAAGCAAAACACGCCACTAAAACTCTCAATGAAATTATCGCGTGCTACTAGCTCTCGAAGATTTCCTAACCCTGCAAGGTCTTAAAATAGCAATAATCAATCAATAATTTATGTTTAATATACTAATAAATTATTGATCCTTACCATTCAGATCTTCAATTAAATTATCTGAAATGTCCAAATATTGTAAATTGGGTAAATGTCTGAAATCTGTCATGCCTGTTAATCTATGTATTCAACAGAAATATATAAGCCATGCTTCTTTTTAGATAAACACAATTGCGTCTAATACTTACTTGTTGGATGCAACTTTTAAGGTAGTCAGAACCGATGGCAACCCATGTAGATATTCTAAATTATTATTGTTTAATGATATTTTTTCCAACCTTGGCATGAAATTGTCCAAAAAATAAACCGATTCAAGTTCTTTTCCACTTAAGTCGCAATCAACAATATATTCCCAATCCTTTGGATTAGGATATTGTTTACATAAAGCGGCAGTTATCCATTTTTCCGTAAGATGAATAGAATCTTCATTATTTTCACTCCGAGAAAGATTTGCTTCGTTCAATTGTTCAGAGTTATCACCAAGTACACTATCATTTTCCGATGTATAGTTAATAGTTGGTGCAAAAGTAACCATGGTAGTTCTCTTAGCATTTATATCTGTTTGTGCATCTTCAATAATTTGATGTTTTGAAACCATTGATTCATTTTCGATAGCTTCGCTGCTTTTCTGCGTTTCAAAAGAATCATTTTCCAAGTTTCTAGTGGGCGGAATTGAGCATAACGAATTTTCGACAATTGGTCCTCGATTTAATTGATAATTTAAAAACTCGTCTTCCATGACCTCATTATTTTCGTTTTGACTTTCAATCAAATTTTCATCATCGTCTTCGATACTACCCTCGCTTCCGATATCTGCATCAGACTCTTTAAAATAATCATCAAGTCCAACTTCATTTGCTTCGTGAAGTTCGGTGATAGTGTTGGATATTACTTGTGGTTTTGCAATTGAGTCTTCCTTAATCTGATCCTTATTTGCCAAACTTAGCGTTTCACCAATACTATTATTTGTAACAGTTGCTACCTGGACGTTAGACTCGGCGATAATTTTCATTTGCTTTTCAGTTTGCATCTCATTGTTTGCTTCAGATACAAATTCATCTCCAGTATGCGAATTCGGATTAATAACACCATTTGAAACATATCCCGAAAAGCTTGTTTGACAAGCGAGATTATACGTTTCAAATAATCCCGTTCCAGCCTGTACTTCTTTATTGACAAATGATTTAAGAGGCATAATACGTTTCCGCGCAAAGATGTTGTCCAAAGCGGGGAATGTAGTTCTCTGTGTGATCAGACGTGAATCATGCTCATGTAATATAGTATCATTTTCGGTGATGTCGTCTAAAATAATCATAGAGAAATTTTCTTTTTCGTTTTCGATTATGTTTGTATCTTTTGAAGCTTTTGTTGTTTCATCATTTCTTTTATTATTATGTTCGATTTGTATTTTTTGGGAACCTACTATTGCATTATTAATACAAAGATGTATTAATATTTGAAATCTTAATCATTCACTTGAATCATAATACATATTTCGATCCCGTTAAACCGAAGATTGATGAAACCCAAAGTTTTGTCTCAAGTTAAACCGAATTTTTACTAATAGTCCCACCACTTCGGCTTAATGGGGTTGATTATGTATAGAGGGATCAAAACACAGACTTACAATTTTTCTTGACATCATTTTCGTATTTTAATGCAAAAATTTTAGGTTGTGATATCTTTGGAGGACCTTGTGTGGATTTACGGATAACTTTATGGTTTGCTTTAAGTGTTTCTGACTGCGATACTTTGGGAGAAACTTTTGCGGCTTTATTATTCTCCTTGACATTTCTTTCGTAATTTGCTGTAGAAGTATCTGATTGCGATAATTTTGGATGAACTTGAGGATTTGTTTTAGAAGTTTCTAGTTGCAACAAATTCTCAGGAGTTTGAGTAGATTTATGATTATTGGATTGGCATTCAATTTCTTTCGCTTTGATATTAGGTACTATTATTATAAGAATATACAAACCATATGATTATAATTATTCAACAAATTTAAACAAGTATAAGTATGAGATTACAATGCTTTTGAAATTACAATGTTTTTGAGATTCCTGTATTATTTTGTCCTGTTTTAGCTGATGATTTGAATTAGGAACTATGGGTTCTACAAAAAACGAAAATAAGTTATTTATATGGAAATATGATGACATTTTATCAAATATGCGTATTTCTTCATTATAATTATTATTAACCCAATTTTTCTTCAGAATCCCCCGATTCGTTTCCTTCTGTCTTTAAAAGTATTCCTTCATATTGGTCATCATAAGTGTAAGCAGGACGCGTGGGAGAAATTCTGAAAAAGGCGTGTATAGTATTACAGCCAGGTGTTCCGCACCAAGGCCAAATATCTGGCCAAGGACATATTGCTAACATTGCAAGTTTTAAAGGACATCTTTTGGAGAATTTGGATCTA